TATCCCTGGTTCAAACTTTGGACACCCCACTCTCGTTAAACTTTCGATCTTTGTCGCCTGAGGTATGAAAGCACTTCTCCCCATCGCTGGGATCGCTACTATCCATCCACCACTGCGGCCTATTTTTATTTATACTCCTATTCTGGGGAACTTTGGCTCACCACCTTTGTATGCATTATCTCTTTAACTTACTATGTATTAACAAATATGTATATAGGACGCGACGTGCACATACACGCTCCTACAACCGGGGCACACACTAGACTAATAAGCTAACAGTTAGGGTCGCGATGGACTGGTCGTCTCTCATTGTTTGTTGCTTTTAGGCAGCGCCAGCAGCAGTATGGAATCGCAGTTCCAGTCGGATTCGTTTAAGCGTTTTGAGATGTTGCTGAAGAAGACTGAGACTTTTTCGCATTGTCTGAGTGCGGGCGACGTTGAAATGGCGGGTGGTAAGTATTTCTGCAAATTATTGCGAGAATTTTTCGGCGATTTTTGCGTGGCGCCATTTCGGGTGTGTGTGATTTTGCAAGTTAGAATTTCGACAGCTACACATTTGGGAATTCGTGTGCAGCTGTAGTCGAGATTGTAAATTGCAAAATCTGTCAAAAATTATCATTTTGAATGTTTCTGATTATTACCAACCAAATGTTTTTGTTAGTAAAATATGCTAGGCCTGCGTCGGAGCAATTATCTCTGTTATTTTTGATAGTATCATCATCATTATCATAATCATTATTGCTATTTCTGTCATCACTATCTTCATTATTGTTAATCTTCATTTTCGTGAAAATTTGCAGCCCGTCAGATATTCGGAATGGCATCACTGATGCCTAATCTAGAGTCGCTTAATCAGAAAGGTTTTTCGTGATAGCCAGCAGTGCTCGTTGCAGCTGTTTTATTATTAGTCCATGTTTTTCCGTGTTGCTCGTATTTGTCCCAGTTAGGACAGCATCGCCACGAAAATAACTTCCTTCCCACAGAATCGCAGTGTTTTCTTCAATTCCTGAGCATCGCGGAGCCTTTTTCATTTATTTTGAAGTTATTTTGGGAGAAGTAAATATTAGGCATAAAATTAACAAATTTATATTTTATATTGCTAACTATTCTTCGTCTTCATTCGCCACTGATGCAGTTGAACATATTTTTATTGTTTGTCTAGGATCTCTTTCATCTATATTTCAAAAAAATGCTCAACTGAATCTTCCTACTGCATTCCGCGTGTTCTTTTACTGCTGCATAAGTGGCATTCAAAAAACTTTGTTCTTGGAATTTATAGGTCAGAAAATAATGATACTGTCTTGATCACGAAAATATTGATACAAACTTTTTTGTAAAACATCCGTTAGTATGGTTCGTGGCAGTTAGATTTGCCCCTGTATTGGTGGTCAAAAGCTCAACTCCCATTGTGGGACTGCCAGCACTTCATGATTCGTTTGTTATGCGTTTTTTTTGCATCTATGCAATGCGGAAAGCGCATATTGACGAAGGGTTTTCTCTGTGTGCGCATCTGTACCGATTTTTCATCTCGAGATCTACAAAAGCTATAGGGCTGAAACTTTGGGAACTTAATCTGCATGCATATACGGGGCCCCATTTCAAAATAAGCGCTCTCACCCGCGTGTTACACGCGTAAAGGCCCATGAAAGTTTCTTTCAGGTAAGCTTCTAACTCGGGAACCTGAGAAGCTAGAAGATTGAAATTTTAAGGGGATCCATGTAGGTATTAATGAGTTCACACCCAAACACCGAATATGCGTAGTACCCACGTACGGGTCCGTGAAAGTTTTTTCGGGTAAGTTGCTAACTCGGAAACCAGGAAAGCTAGAAAGCTGAAGTTTTAAAGGGATGTTTTCAAACAGCCCTGGTGGCCAGTCTCAGTTTCTTAGCTAGAAGCATTTGCCGGAAAACCGGTGCTGGTAGCGACAAAAACTGTGGGGAACTATGCAAAAAACGCATTTTCGCAGCGGCAGTTGGTGCGCAGGCCATTTATTTGTTTCGGTCATAGATCGATACAGGTGCAGGCCGGGAAATTACCGAACCGCTATCAGTGTGCCGCTTTCAAGCAGCCCTCGGAAGAGGGAGCCATCGTCAAGTTTGCCAATGGATTTTTGCTTTTGGCCACTTCCGGACACCTCCGCGCCTTGCTGATATAAGAAATTATATTATTACCACAGTTGTCGTACTGACGAGGTCCAACTGTGGCAATGGTAAGAAATGTTACGACTTAATGGACCGAAACATTTCTTACCAACATTAATAATTCTTTACAACTCTTTCATTTTTT